TATTTCTATTTCATTATTTTCCAATTTCATAGTATTGTGCTTTCAATCAATCAGCATATAAATCTTTTTCTGGTTCAAAGACACACACATACAAATGGCAAAAGCATCTGAGCGCAGGTGCCAACTTGTTCTCTAAATCTATGAATCTCTGAGCAACTTTGGTAGGTTTCCAAATGAATCTACTTAGAAAATTATAACTGGCAATCCTACTCTCTAAAATCTATGTTAAAGATATTTTTAATATCTTAATTAAAGATATTTTAGTATCTTTTAATAGCTCAGGAGGATTTTCAACCAACACAAATACATGCACACTTTAAACCCAAGAATACACTAAGGCAAAAGCTTGTCCATCCCAAGGATAAAACACACAGACACAAACTAAGCAATGTGGTATATGCAGTACAATGCAGTGAGACATGTGGAGATCTATACGTTGGGGAAACAAAACAACCACTTCATAAACGCATGGCATAACACAGGAGAACAAACCCATCAGGACAAGATTTGGCAGTCCATCTGCATTTAAAAGACAAAGGCCACTCTTTTGAAGACAGCAAAGTCCACATTTTGGACACAGAGGACCGCTGGTTTGAAAGAGGAGTCAAAGAGGCCATCTATGTCAAAATTGACCACCCTTTCTCAACAGAGGGGAAGGGATATAACATCATCTATCTCCAGTCTACAAGATAATCCTTTCAGCAGTTCCAAGAAAGCCCCACAACCATTTGCACTACTCAGATGACCCTGAGGACACAGATAAACCTTCAAATGGCCTCAACAACTCTCTAAAAGAATGCAAATGACCAGCTGTCTGCAAGGAATATAAATCCTTCCATTCCCCACGATCCAGGCAGAGCTGAAGAAGCTTCTTGGATGAGAAGTGAAATGTCTTCAAAGAAAAACAAGAAAATCCAGTCGCCTCTTGAAAAAGCACCTTTGGGACGTCTATGTTAAAGAGACAATGAGATCCCATTCTTTTCCATTTTATAAGTTGCAGCTGTGTGAAAAGATGACAGTGTAATGTAACTGGCTGCGTATTTTCTGGTTCATGTAATGCAATGACTGATTTGTATCTGATAAAATGGATCAAAACAAGTGGTGGGATTCAGCCAGTTCGCACCAGTTTAGTAGAACCGGTAGCTAATTTTTTGTTGGCCAGGCCCACAGAATGGACTTCTGGAAGCAGCATCCACACAGATAATTCACATATTTGAATCCCACCACTGATCAAAACTCAACAATTTACTATGCTAGGAAGAAAAATACCACCACCAAAATCACTGAAAACTATGTCCACCATCATCTTGCTGTGCTGACAGCAATATAACTATTTTTCTCTTATAAAGGATCAATTGGTAAGCTCTCTCATGATGTCCTTCTCAAAATGTGAAATTTAAGCTCATAAGAAGAGAGGAGAATACTATTATAAAGTCTTTGCTGAATGAAGGGAGATTTGTCTCTCTTTTTTAAAAAAAATCCAAAATCAAATAATTTCTGTAATATCTGCAGGCTATTTATGACAAAATAACCATCCTTATCCTGAAGCTATGGAAGAACTCAGCTAGGACGAAAAAGGAAATATTCTTAATCCTGTTTTTTTATGATGAAAATAAACTCTTCCTCTTGAAGATTTCTTTTAATCTAAGCAAACTTAAGAATCCATACTTTTATCCCCGTAATGGAGGACAAATTGACAAAGAAGACAGATTTGGTTAGATTATCAGAAAAGAAGTTTAAAATTTCAGAATCCTGCATTCTCATTTAAGCCACCGATTGCTCAGCTCCTGTGCAGCCATTTGTAAAATAAAACAAAACACCTCCTGGTTGAAGCTCAATGCAGGATAATTTATAATTCTGAGCTGCATCCTAAGGCGGACTATTATAATAACTTGCTTTTATTTTAAAGCTGTTTTAACAGATCACAAAATGTATGCTTTGGATGGGGAGATTACATTCTTTCAGGGAAAGTTAATCTTCACTATGTCTAAAATGCATTGTCAAGAAGTAATAGTATATATTTCCAGTGAAACTCTTTCATGTAAGAGATAAGGAATTCAGGGTGTTTGGTTTTTGTTTTTGTTTTTGTTTTTTGTAATACAGTAAGTTTGCAGTCCTTAGCTCTAAAAATGGTCACTTTTACTTACAGTATATTATGATGCAACTCCACACAGTTAACCTAAAACACATTAAAAAGAAAGCAATATGCATCCTGAGTCCTTTCGGATATTCCACGTGCCCTGAATTCCTTATTATTATTATTTAAATTTATATACCGCCCTATCTCCCTTACGGGACTCAGGGCGATGAACAGGCAATAATAAAAATCACAATAAATATTGAATAAAAAGCCTGCTCTAAAATACCCCATATAAAACCCCTAGCAAAGCCCAATCAAAACTACGCCAGGCCGGCCGCATGGAATAGATGGGTTTTCAAGGCTCGGCGGAAGAGGCACAGGTCCGTAGTTGTACGTAGGTTGGGGGGTAGGTCATTCCAGAGGGCAGGAGCTGCCACAGAGAAGGCTCTCCCCCTGGGGGTCACCAGCCGGCATTGACTGGCCGACAGCACCCTAAGGAGGCCCTCTCTGTGGGAGCGGACTGGTCGAAGGGAGATATTTGGTAGGAGGCGGTCTTGCAAATACCTAGGTCCATTGCCATGGAGCGCTTTAAAAGTTGTTACTAACACCTTGAAGCGCACCCGGAAGGCCACCGGCAGCCAGTGCAGCTCGCACAGGAGAGGTGTTACATGGGAGTATCTAGAGGCCCCCAAAATCCCCTGCGCGGCCGCATTCTGAACTAGCTGGAGCCTCCAGGTGCACCTCAAGGGGAGCCCCATGTAGAGAGCGTTGCAATAGTCCAGGCGGGAAACGAGGGCTTGAAGTTGGCAACTCTTTTTCAGTTTAGGGCTGCATTCCCTATGGGTTAAACAACTGAAGGAAGCAAAGTAAATGGAGTGGCACAAGTGAGTGAGTGAGTGAGTGAGTGAGTGAGTGAGTGAGTGAGTGAGTGAAGCCAGAATAAAAATAGGATAAAAGCTCCATTCTTTTTCTGCCTCTGCTTATATAATCTTAGACCACTTCCAATTGTGAAGCTCAAGAAATGACCTTTCCTGTCAAAGGACCATACTTATCTAACATGACAGAGGTTGTTGAACTAGGCTGCTCGCCCCGGTTATTGGACAGTAAGACTGAAACATACCCCCGTTTCAAGAGATGTACCCCAAATTTATTTACAGTCTTGGCACTGATACACAGGTAATCCTCAACTTACCCCAAATTTATGTCACTAAGTGAAAAATTTGTTGAGTCTTACCCCATTTTATGACCTTTCTTGCCACCGTTGCTAAGTGAATCACTACCGTTGTTAAATGAGTAACACTAGCTTCCCCATTGGCTTTGCTGGTCAGAAGGTCGCAAAAAGTGATCACATGACCCCGGGACCCTGCAACTGTCATTAAGGATGAACCAATTGTCAAATGTCCGATTGTAAATCATGTGATCTTGGGGATGCTGCAGTGGTCATAAGTGTGAGAAATGGTCATAAGTCAGTGCTGTTTTTCAGTGCTGTTGTAACTTTGAACAGTCACTAAATGAACTGTTATAAGTCGAGGACTACCAGTACATTTCCTAAATGAAGGGTCCAACGTATGTAACCAAAAGCCAATAGGTCAAATGATGACAAGAGTAGGTTCCAGTATGACAACAAAAATTATGTCCTACTAATCTAGCTCTTTATTTCATGAAGCTAGGGCAAGGTTTCCCAACCTTGAGAAATTAAAGATATGTGGACTTCGACTGCCAGAATTTGAATTCTGGGAGTTGAAGTCCATATATCTTAAATTTCCCAAGATTGGGGAACACTGAGCTAGGGCACAGCTATAATAACCTTACATTCTCATTCTCTTATCAGTGCAATGTTTGGAAACAAAATTATAATATAAGCTTTAGTTGCATGTTTCAGCTTGACATAAACTCTTCTTTGTCCTTTGAATAAGCTTCTACTGCTTTCAGCATATTATCTTTCTTCCCAGATAAGACTACAAGATTTAATTTCATCTTTCTGCTTACTGATTAATACTTTGGAGAGTCATGGCTACTCTTCAGCTTTTTTGCTAATATTCAGCTAGAATCATCTGATATTTTCAAGGTCACTGAAGGAAGTTTTAAAGAGAAATCTGGTCCTTGGTGCTCTCTGAGCTTACTGGTTTTCTTGCAGACATTTCATTACCCAAAATCATCCGTGCCAAGAAGGGGGTGGGATTTGTTCTTGTTTTTATATACTAGTGAGAAATCTACAGTGTGCAGTGTGTTCCATGTTTTCTTTCAACTAAATAAAAAAAAATTACAGGGTTTTACATTCATTCAAAGCCCATTTGACAAAGATGGGAATGGCACAAAAATATATGTGTGTTCACTTGGTGAAATAAGATTCATTTCAGACTATGCTCCTAGCTGTCCTTTCAGATTGTCTCCTAGCTATGCGTTTGATCTTCAAAAGGCTAAGCAAGAATAGACCCGGTTTGTATTTGGATGGGAAGTCACCTTCAAATCTTAATGGGACCATATGCAAGGATTTACCAATTATTTTTTGTCTGCATAAATGTGAACTTTTATTTTGAAAATTCACAATCACATAAACATTGACAGGTTTTTTTTTTTCTTCTTCTGGGTACTGAAACATGTATGAATTTCTTTCTAGAATGTACAGAAGCCTGCAACAGAAAAGAGCATAAAAAATGCAAAAAGAAAGTACTGAAAAACATAAGACATGCTCAGAATAAGAAAAGAGATGGGATAACAAGACGGATTTTAAAACGTGACAGAAGTCCTTTGAACACACATTTGTTGTATCGAATTTCAGAGAAGCTGTCTTATTATGGCATTCAGAAAGGAACAGAAACTCTCATAATAAACTCTACCCCTGCTCATCAATTCCCTTGCTTATGCAGTAACCAAGGCATTTATAAATGCAAATACAAGGATTTTTTTTCACCATTACCTGATCTTCAAAGTTAAATTCATGATCAGGAATCTCTCCTGGGTCCACAACGAGACTAAGGTCAACTTCACATGGACCTAAAAATAAGAAAGGGAATTCTCAAATAAAACAAGCAGGTTTCATTATGATACAATCTCATTATTAATGAGAAAGGTCTAAACGGGTATTTTTACTCTCAAACAAGAGAAGACTCCATTTTAAAGTAAGCAATGGGTTTGTTTTGATTCTTAATAGCAATTTCCTAACATAAGAATGTAATCTGTTACTAAAATCTAAAATAAAAACATCTAAAAATAATTCACATTGAACTCATAGAATTAACTCCGAATAAAGGTGTACATTATTCAAGATCTAGCTGTATAGAGAAGACGCTAAAGCTGAGAAAGACGAAGAGAAAGAGAAGGGAATGAGGGAGATGAACTCAGTTAAGTGGCAATGAGTACACAGCTGGAAGACTTGAAGGACCAAATAAGGAGCAGATCATGATGAAGAAAGCCCATTTATGTGGTTGTTAAGAGTTAATACTGACTTGATGGCACATAATCTCTCCATCAAACACAATCAGAATTGTGCTCTTAATAATGGAATATTACACATACTTATACTAAGTAAATGTCACTGAGTAAAATGGGCCCACCTTGTTTTATATCAATTTTCCCTTCTTGTGTAAAAAACAAAAACCAAGTAATGCAAAAAAAATCTCAGTAATATGATATTGGACAGAATCAAAACAACTATGACTCTGCCTTTGTTAAAAAGAGAGAAATCATTTTTCAGGTCCTACTTTTGACTCAGATTTTTTGGTTTTTTTTTTGTTTTGTTTGCTTGTTTGTTAAATGTCTATGCCTCCCATCTCACCATCAAGTGACTTTGGGTCACTATTGCCACAATCTGGACATCTCAAAAAGCTGGCCATTTAATTTTCTATAAAAATTAAAGTAATTGGGCCCTTCTGAAGTCATCTCAGGCTTCCTGCATGGCATGTTTTCCAATTCCTGAAGATTGATCTCCAAAACGTTCACGTTAAAAAAAAGGTCTGGAAAACACAGTAGTGGAGCACTTTGTTGTTTTAGCCTTGCCAATGACCTCAGTAGGGTACTGATTGTGTTGCTTAAGACACAAAGTTCTCTCTAAGAATTTTACTCCACAGAAATAGTCTGTACCAGCCAATGCATTCATAAAGACTAAGGGAAGAAATCTCAGCCACTTTCAATGGTGAGCATTGCTTTCCAGGTTGGGGATCTTTCTCAGACTGGTTACTTTCTTTTCAAGCAGCTGAAATTTACTGAAATTTTTAGTTCCTTAAACAAAAAAGAACAGGCATGGAAACAGACCACTTGAAAAAGAATCCCTCTAAGGTTATGGTGAATCATTCAAATCATTTATTTCCTTCCTGCTGCTTTCATCCTTCTGTTGTTCTCCTATTCGAGAAACCATCACCAGCAGTGAGCTTCTTCTAGCCTACTGCTATGTGTCATTCTTGTGGTTGCAGCATGCTTGGAGTTGGTTCCCTATGCTGCAGAATGTTTGCAATCTACGAATAGGCCAATATAAATAGATATTTGTTTCAGAATTTCTGCATGAAAAAAAAGGACTCCTGGAGACCACGTGAGAGAAAGAGGTAGAGCTTCCATTCACCCTTTCTTGATCAAAAGTTGATAGCTTGTGGGTTACATCTGGTCTACTAACTGGAGTTTCCATCTCTGTCATTAAGATTGCTGTTTGAAGTTCCAGTCCTTTTAATGGCAGTACAAAACTTTGTTGAGAATCAGACCTACACTACGTATTTTCTCAAGTTGATATCATTCCCATGTTTAAGGCTTTCTCAGCCTTTAACTGGTGGCAGAACCTTCATATCCATAGCTTTGCAGACTGCTGTTCTTTACGAGTTTAGTCCAGGGAGCCTCAGTGGAACATCTGGGCAGCAATGTCTCCATAGGTATCTCTCTTACTAATTGTCAGGTTCCCTGTTCAATTCTTTTCTTTAATTTTTAAAATAATGTAGAGTTTCTGGCTGGGAAAAATCTCATAAATTTTCTTCTGATAATGTGGTGAATGTGACTAAATATAATCATACAGCAGCCACTTTCTAGAAAGTAAGAGTTGACCAGTGTCAGTTGTGTGCCCATGTAAAAGTCAAAAGCTTCTTGTGTGTAAAGTCCCACCAGATTTACGAGGGGTAAGAAAAACTCTACATGACAGCCAAACCTTATACACCACTTTACAATTAATCTTGCTGTATCTTGCCCTTGTTGCAAAACTTGCTCAGAAATATCAGCTCTTGCTTGACCCAAAAAATAAACTAATTAAATATGGCTACCAATAGGAATTATTTTCTTTGAATTTGATTATGGCAAAGATGAGTGATTAGTGAAGATAGGCTAGTAAGATTGGTGCACTGATTGGTGCACTGAACTGATGGGATGTTACATCTTTGAATTGGATGTGGCAGTTATACTGGGTCATGTGTTATTTTATTTGCTTTACTTTGGTGTAAACCACCTAGAATCTAATACGTGACAGAAGTTTATAAATAAGTAAATGAATGGAATGGAATGGAATGAAATAGAATAGAATAGAATAGAATAGAATAGAATAGAATAGAATCTGGAAGGGACCTTGGAGGTCTTCTAGTCCAGCCCCCTGCTCAAGCAGGAGAACCTATACCATTTCAGACAAATGACTATCTAGTCTCTTCTTAAAAACCTCGAGTGATGGAGCACCCATCATGAATGATGACTACATTTTTGTTTACTGGGTATACTATCTTAAATTAAAAACTGACAGACTCCAACCTGAGTGGATCAGGTTACAACGATATACACTGGCTTAAAAGGATTGGGGCTACTTAATTTAGTCTAATTTTCCAAATGAGTAGAGATGACAGCACAACCAATGATTGCCAATCTAATGATTGAGTACACATGAACTAGTTAGTGAGATATCACAAATCAGAGTGAAGAAACCTCATGTATGTTTTACATAGTACTGAATTGTCTTTTTACAGAAATCTCCTGTCCTTAATCACATGTGTTAAGGTAACTTGGATTCTAGTAATTCAACCCAACTCTCTTGCCTTCATTCTTCCAACATAGATCAGGTCCTATAAGATGCAGCTATTGCATTAGTCAACTGCAATAGAAAGACAATACCCTGGTATTAAAGATATTATTTTTCTTAGGCTGACTGTCTTCAGAATATTAGAGGGCCAGTGGTACCCATCAACTTCAAACAGTGTCCATTTGAAGCTCTGATTCCAAAATGATGGCTAAGATTCTCACTGGTGGATTGTCTGGCTGATAATGCCATTGCTACCATTTCTGTTTCTCTTTCTCTTTAAAGACAGTGATGAAAATGGGAAGCATCGTTGAGTGGAGATTTCACAGAACCCTTTTTCTAAGCCTCTAGATCAGGGGTAGGCAACCTTGGCTCTTTTATGACTTTTGGACTTCAACTCCTAGAATTTCTGAGCCAGCATAGCTGGCTCAGGAATTCTGGGAGTTGAAGTCCACGAGTCATAAAAGAGCCAAGGTTGACCTACCCCTGCTCTAGATGTTCCTCCTGCCACCACAATGGCAATGCTTCTATGAATGACAGGATCAAAAAGTTCTGAATTTCTAATATTTTTATTTCTAAATGTTTTTCCTGTCCAGCAATATTCTCTTGGTAATGTCCTGTTGTTTTTGCTATAGTTGCTAAAGGTTTTTGCTACTATAAAACTAAAAGCAGACTAGAGGTTTGTGAAGGTTTGTGTACTTTGGTTCTGTTGATAATATTTAAAGAAAGGCTTTAATTATCCCTTATTTGTCATTGTGAAGTATTCTCTGAGAAAAGGCTGTTTCTTCATATATCATTTTATGATCTGATAAGATACACAGAAACAGTTCAAAAAGTTTTGTGTTATTTATAAGCACAGCATGCTGAGAAGAGCAATTTAAAGGGAGAGTAAACAATTTCTTTTCAAGTAAACAATTGGTTAAGGACAGGCTTGAATATTATTTTTGCTTTCCGTTATTTTTACTGTAAAAAAAAATGCCTCAAGTCCCTGAAGTACAGAATTTGAAGGCAAGTTGCTGCTCTTAGCAACAGGTAGGTAGCAACCATGCATATAAATATATTGCTGTCCACAAAGGCTGAAAATTGCCTCTATTTTTGCTTCTTTTTTAAACCATTATTGGAATGTAAGTTGAGGAGGCTTTAATAATCCAGTCTTATGCTTGTCAGCCAGAAAGCTAGCATTTCTTTCTCCTGTCAGAAAACAGGATGAAAGACTTACAAGTACAGATCTATGTGTGAATATTATATTTGTCTGAGAATAGGAGTAGGGATCCGATTGAAAAGGCTACAAAAAACCCCGATCGTCACTCTTTAGCTGATCATTGAGAATGTTTGGTTAAAATACCAACTCCTGGACATTTGCATGAATTTTGGAGATTTTTGCACATTGAGTTGTGAAAGCACAATAGAGGATGGGATTGTACGAGGGCAATTCGGAAATAAACCTCTGTTTGGTTATCAATGACGGACACTCGCAGACACACAACTTTTATTATACACATTAGACAACTACAACATTACATTATTTTTTGACATAATCACCATTCAAATTGAGGCACTTGTCCTAACGTCTTACAAGGGGGTTTGTGGTGTTGGTTCACGATAATGCTCGTCCGCACACCGTTAGACGTACCCAAGAACTTTTGAAGCAGCTCCGTTGGGATGTTTTTGATAACCCCCCCATAGCCCAGATTTGGCGCCGAGTGACTACTACTAAGGAATTTCAAACCTTGTAAGACGTTATGACAAGTGCCTCAATTTGAATGGCGATTATGTCGAAAAGTAATGTAACGTTGTAGTTTTCTAATGTGTATAAGACACTCTGTGTCTGCAAGTGTCTGTCATTGATAACCAAACGGAGGTTTATTTCCGAATTGCCCTCACAATTTGTGCGTGCAACGTCTGCTTCTATAAAATCTCATGTGCATTTTTTTCATACGTGTGTAATTATTTTGGGGTTTTTTTTGGCAACACCATCTTTTTCACAAATGTAATGATGTCACTTAATTTATCCAGAAAAGGGTCCTGTGTTCTAGAATAGGAACAGAGGACACTGCCTTTATACTGAAGCAGACCCTGGTCCATCTAACTCAATGTACTGAATAACATCAGCTCAGTTTGAAGCACTCCTGGCTATATGAAAAGGTTAAGGACTATTTCTTTCATAGACAAAGCAGCAGCCCTTTTAATGAACAACAGCTTCTCCTTTCATCTTGGGAATCCTGGTGTGTATTCTGCAGACAATAGCTATGACATCTGGGTGCAATGTCTTTTGCAATGGAAATGGGAAGAAATGGACTTACTTGGCATTTTTAGTACAACTTTTGCATGATTTTACTTTTTACTGCACCATTATGTGCTTGTTCCTGCATCTTTTACTTCTGGTTGCACATGTGATCCAAGAATTCCAAAATGGACTTCTTCTCCTCCCCAAAAGCAATCTTCAGAAAAGATAAGGGGACTAAGGCATGATGGGGAGGGCAAGGGTATGGGACCCAGCTGGGTATGAAGCAGAGCAAAAGGTAGGGGAAGCCCTGTGAGACCCAGGGCAGGCTACATGTAACCTCTACTTAATCATCCATGCAGTCACTTAATGATCATAATGGGGAGAGCAGGACTGTGGTTGTTAAGCAAGGGTTTCACATGGGTGCCTCACTTAATGACTGCCATGATTTACAACTGTAATGCTGGACTCAGTTGCGATCATAATTCAGAGACTAACTATATAAGAGCCGTAGTGATGCAGAAGTTAAAATGCAGTATTGCAGGCTAGTTCTGCCGACTGCCGGCAGTTCAATTCTGAATTGCTCAAGGTTGACTCAGCCTTCCATCCTTCCAAGGTCAGTAAAATGTGGACCCGAACTGTTGGGGGCAATATGTTGTAAACTGCTTAGAGAGGGCTGTAAAGCACTATGAAGCAGTATATAACTCTAAGTGCTATTGCTATAAGAAAAAAACAAATATCTAGAGGAAGAGCACTATTTCTAGTAATTATAATAATTGATTAGCCTGGGCAAGTCTATCAAGAGAGACAGGTCTAACTTTGAAAAAGTAATATACCGTGCATGTCTCTTCTTTTTCAGGGGATAAATCTGGGAACTAAAAGTTTGAAACACAAGGGAATTTCTGTAGCTCCAAAGTACTAGCTGCTATCAATCAGGGAGCTGGATGAAGAAAAACTCATCAATGTATAATGCAGATTAGACAAAAGTATTCTTGGGCAGCCAAAAGGAGATTCAAGAAATGCTTAACCACAATTAATAATATTATTATCAAAGACAGGATAATAATCTAAATAATTTACTTTTTCCAGGAAACTGGAATGAAACGGAACAAAACATTACCACTTATAAAACAAGACCATTTAATTTTCCTTTCAACTTAGTCCTAGCCTCTGATCTCTAGGAAACACAGAGTAAAACCTCAATTTAAGGGAAGAATGTTTGTTATTCCTGAATGACAGCCAAATCACAAATTATATCATTTGCAGTTATTTAATTTGTGCAATGTCATAATTACAGAAATAATGCAAATTACGTACATCATTTGCAGCAACTTGAGTCATTGCATAATTAATATCACCCTCATGCAAATGACATAATCCAATAAGAATGGCTTCATTTATGTAATGACATCACAAGTGGGAAATAAAGCAAGCACGAGAATTGCTTAATGGTGGCACACGTTCGATTATTCATTGAAACACTGGAAACCTTTCCAATTTTTAAATAAATACCAGCATTGCATTTAAATAAATGCAAACAAAGATCCAGTCAGCACTGGTGATGTTGCTGAACTGCTTATAATCTCGCAGAACGTATTCTGATATTTCTAACCATGATGATTTGGCATGTACTGGCAGAGTAACTACTTATAATCCTTGTAAGTAAGAATAATGCCTCTTTTTTTTAAAAAAAAAGTCTTGAATTAGAGACTTTTTAGAGACTTGAATATTTCAGGTTCCTGTGATTGCTCATTTCTTTTGTTTTGGGCTGCCCAATTATAGATATACTTAAATTCTGAATTTTTCTACTTTTTTTTTTAACAGAAAGAACAATCACTTCCCGTTAGCGAAGACTTTTTAAAAGCCCTTTCTTCTCCAGTTTGTCAGTCATCGCTACAAACTGCTCGTTCATTGGCTAAAAACATTGAAAAGCAGGAACAAAATGGAACAAAACATTCTTGCAAAATGAGCAGACTGACAAAATGATTATACACTTTGCTTGATGGGGACTCATGTTGTGCTTTTGTTTTTTTAAATGAACACTGATAATTGGGCAAGTGTGGCTTTTCAGGGAGCATATGTCACTTCTCTCCCTTGGAGACAACATTGATGACCCTCCTCTCTCAGCCTGTTGTAGATGCAAAGAGTTGGAGGGACCCTCAAAAGATATTTATGGAATAACTTGGGGCTGAAAAGATTCCAAACTTACGCAGAAGCAAAAGACCTTGGCCTCTGCATCTTTTCAAATACTGTAGACGTTAAATCTTACTCACACTAATATACCAATGCATTGCTTATTTATTGATTATTTAGATTTTTAGGCTATCTTTCTATTCAGAAAGAAAATGCAAGGAGCTATACACCATAAAATAATGCCAGCGCAGAATAGAACATTTAAAAAGGTAAAAAACAGAAATTCTGTTTAAACCCAAGTAAGCATTTCTCCGTAGTTATTTATTTATGTCCAGGAAGTCTTATTAAATGTGATGAAAATGTGTACCATATTCTACACATTAAATTTTGTTACTCAAAAGAGAGAAAATAAGTTTGAAGGGATGCCCCATGATGAGAGAACATGGGTTACCTGCCCATCCTCATATCCAACAGAGAAGTAATTCACACTACCACCACCACTTTGTTGCTTATGGATCATATCTGTGATGATCATTAATACATGGAACTATTGCATTATAATATTGTATAACATAGCTTAGGACCAAGTTATTTGAACATTGGTCTTTTCCTAATTACATCTATCAGATCCACCAGAGCAAGGAGGCAAGGTATGTTACAAGTCTCCTCTCTTAAAAAGGTCCATAGAGTGGGACCAAGAAAAAGGGTCTTCTCCATGATGGCTCCTCCTGTCAAACATCATCTCCATGGAGATAATATTGGCTCCCATTTTGATACTCTTTCAAAAGGCCCTGAAGATATGGTTTTTGCCAACGAGCCCATGGTGATACTGAGTCCATCAAGTGGTTTGTTTGACTGTTGTCACCAGGGGTATGTGGGTTTATTGGATTTTGTATTGGGGGTCTATTTCTATAAGCTGGCTGGAATCACCATGGGTGAGTTGGGTAGTCATATACATTTCCTTAATAAATAAATAAATAATATTATTACACATTATGGTCACTACATACATCATAAAATGTACTCTTTACATAGTTCATTAACGCTCACTTAAAAATTTTAAATCACACGTGAAATAACATATATAGATGTTCTGTACATGAAATAAGTACAAAACAATACATGCGGAATTACTCCAAGCATGTATTACTGAATCGTCCTCGTTTAGCAACCACAACTGGGATTGGCAACTCGGTGATTAAGCGAAGTGGTTGCTTATGATTCTTACTTCAGCTTTCCTTTGTTTATAGATCTGCAAGAGTTGTAAATGCAAGGGTTGATTGTAAAGTTACTTTTCCATCAACATCATAACTGTGAACAGTTGCTAGGCAAGGCAGTCACTAAACAAGCACTACATGTATTTCACTATCCTATTTAGGATTTAATACTCACTTGGCCCTGGTTCTTGAGTGGGAAACAGCTTATTGTCAACAGCCAGGCTTATGTTGCGAAAGACCTCTTCCTCATCTTTGTCAGCATCCAACTAAGAACAAAAAAGAAAACAATCAGACACCTGGAAGAAGACAAAGTAGCAAAACAAGTCCAATGGATGGAGCCAGGGGTTCTCATCTTATGTTGTAGAATGTTAGTGCCGCTAAAAATGCCCAGACAATTTGGGATGGCAATGGATTATAGAATGCTGTTGTTAAAAATATCTGATATGGGAACAATTGTATCTGAAAAGCTAATAATATTGATAATATTTATAAGGGTGCAGCATTTCAGAATGTGTCAAAGTGCTTCAGAGTGCTAGAATAAGACATATACAGCTAGTCCTTGACTTACAAGAGTTCGTTTAGTGACCATTCAAAGTTACAACGGAACTGAAAAAAAATGATTCATAATCATTGTTCACACTTATGACCACTGCAGCATCCCCACGGTCATGTGATTTACATTCAGATGTTTGACAACTAGTTCAAATTTATGATGGTTGCAGTGTCCTGGGGTCATCTGATCACCTTTTGTGACCTTCAGACAAGCAAAGTCAATGAGAAAGCTATATACACTTAACAACAGTGTTACTCATTTAACTACTACAGTGATTCACTTAACAAATGTGGCAAGAAAAGTCCTAAAACGGGGCAAAGCAAATTTCTCACTTAGCAATATAAATTTTAGGCTCAATTGTAGTCATAATTCGAGATCTATCTGTAGTTCCTACCTGTAATTCCTTAAATAAGGAAGTATTGGAGACAGAAAAGAGGAGGAGGATATTAAAAAGTCCTGGGAGCCAGTGACAATATTTTATTGTCTAAAAACCTGGTGCCTTTTGCCCAAGCTCTGTTGTTAATCGTGCTTATGGAAATGTTCTTTCTGTGTAAGGTCTAGTTGTTTTATATCAATTTAAGCACTGAAGAGAGAAAACAAGTATTGCAAAATGCTCTTAACTGCAAATTGGCCTAGTCTTGTTTAACAAACACAACAATGCTTTGATTTTTACTTTCTTCCTATCACATTTTATATGAAGACACAGTAATTGCACAGATTGCTTATCTGTTTTTGTTCTTTGGTAAGACTCAACAAAAGGATCTATCAACTGAAATTAACCATTTGTGAGAAAACAACAGCAAGAACCAACAGTTTAAGAGACTCTCAATACCAATTTGAGACTAGTTCCACCAATGCAGATGAAGAGATCATTGGTCAGCAGCGAGGACCCTAATAGAACAACAAAATTCCTATTCTAAATACCCACATTAAAAGCCAACATTTCCTGCCCCTCAGGACTGAAAAGGAAGAATAGAATGATAGATGAAGTCTTGGACAAACTCTGCCACACAGAGATGGCCCAAAATGTTTTGTTTTCCCCCCGCAGTGTTAAATCAGCACCTTGGCTTACTAGGGGGCTGAGACAAATGAACAGCACAGGGAGAGCCCTAGGCCAGAAGTGGTAGAATTTTCAGGAAGAATTAGAACAGAGTCCATCTCTGAAACCCTATTCTGTGGCAGTAGATACAACAAAGATGATTTCTTCCCCCAGCCATACTTTTTTTTGTACTGTGTCGCATCTCCTTCAACAGGAAGTTCAGTTGGAACCGTTCAGTTGAAGGCTCACACTGCTCTTTGCAAAGTTGATCAGATTCACCTGAAGATGGACTTTATTTCAGGCAGTGGGTGGCATCAAACAGGGATAAACTACTTGTCCTATTTGTGTGGATGTTATTCAATTTCTAATCTCAAGGATGTGGAGAGAGTAACTGGTGAGATCATGGCCACCAGCTGTTTTTGCCTGACTGTTTAAATTGGCCAAGCTAACTGGCTCTGTGTTTAAGGAAGATGAGGCTTCCTGGAGCAGGGGAGGAAGGAGATCTTCCTTGACCCAGAAGATTTCTGGGATTGTACACCAGTTTCAAGTATTTCATTCTAAGCTATATTGATCAGGGAACTGGTAGTTCTTAGGTCCCAACTACATTTGGATTAAACTGATTATTTAGATCAATTTCAACCAAGTTTTCATCAAGAATATGATACAGAAACCTCACTCTGTGGGTGACCTGCATTAGAAAGTAAACAGGGATGCAACTGTTTGGTCCTCCTCTTAGCAGCTTCTGATATCATTAATTATGATATCATCCTTGGTTGTTTGATGACGGTGGGTCTTTTGAGGCTTTGGTCCTTTGCATAAGGTGTGCCCAGAGAGTGATGCATGTAGTTTATGGCTAGTGGGTTACCTGAAACCCTTCCTGAGCCAATCATCCTAGGTGAAGTTTACCCATGATTTAGTTACAGCTTGATTTGACTATTGCTATGACACTTTCAAAGGCTATGAAAACTGTCTCAAAAGTGTATGCCATGTAAAATGCAGCAGCCATGTTGCAAGATGTCTCCACTGCCAAAGGTAGGCAGGAGAAAGCATTATTTTATTAGAAAGTAGTATTTTATTATGCAATGCTCGCTTCAGGAAGGTATTCTTGATTATGTACTCTCAGTATTCAGAATAGCAAAAATATATACATATCTCTTGCCAAGTTTTGATTGACTTTAAATCATTATTTTAATTGCATCAACTTCAAAAGTTACATTTTATATTTTGTTTAAATTCACACCAAGTGCCCAAAGAGTGTTTAAAATAAACAAAATGATAGGTGTTCACATTTATTTACTAAATAAGCAAATAAGCCAAAGAACCAGTAGAGGTTCATATATTTGGGGGGGGGGATAAAATGTATGCAGAAAGCTATAAAACTTGGAAACAAAATGAACCCAGTACAAGAAAAACTGTATGTCACAGTGGCATGCACGTTCATAGTTCCTATAATTAAAGTCTGTGAAATATTACAAAAATCCGTCCTTTCAAAGATGACATTTTAATGAATTGAAAAATTCTTTTGAAAATTGTAGATTAGATCTGATTCAAAGTGATAAGACATCTGCTTCTTTGCTTTTATCATTCCTTCATTAGCCTTTTTAGCTGAAGCCATAATCACATCTCACGTCAAAAGTTCTGTACATTAATTAGACAAAAAGTATTTTCTAGAGTTTTAATAAACTGAGGCACATCACATCAGATTATAAAATTACCTATACATTCTTGGTTCAAATCAGTAGGATAATAGTCAGTACAGCATACTGAGCTTATGAATAGATTGCAGGCTTGTTTTTGTTCAATTTGTATTGATTATAGGGAGGATTTTTCTCCTTTTTGAGACAGTCTTAACTGGCAATTATATGTGGATTTTCATGACAACATTTTTCAAAGGTGACGGAGTGGCTGAGAGTCACTCATCTAGCTTTGTGGCTAAGGCAGGCTAGTGGTGGCTAATTGGTGCCTTTAGCCACTATTCCAAACTGGTGCTCACAGATGACGTTACATGTAAAATGTAGTCATGTTCTGATATTGAGAAAGCACATCTGCTTTTCTTACAAAAAGTACGCTTGATGCAAAAATAGAAATACTTGTTTACAGTACTCAAACATATTCATTGCTCGCTACTTACCTAATCGTAATGATCACATATTCTCATTCTGGGTACATAATCTAGCCAAATAAAAGGCTCTGTAAAAATAATTCTCTATCAACTAGGCAGGTAAAATTTGAAGCTAGCATGCTGAGCGAGATGTGATACTTGTATTTTAAAACAGGAAAGAGACATAGGGAAAAAACATACTGGTTGCTAAAATGAACATCTCAGTTTACTGAAAAATATTCCTTTAATATCAATGAATGTATTGCCAAGGACTTATATTTACCCAACTGTAAACAAATGGATATATTATCAAAAAAAACTGAATACTAAATGTTTTGGGGCAATGTTGAAAAGGAGTGTAAAATACATTCTATTTTTACACTTTTCACATTTAGATTTTAATGACAACAGCAAGTACATAAATCTGACTCTATTTTACTACCAAGCAAGTAAGAGTTAGGCACACTGCAATGAATAAACTTCCAAATGGCTAAATTCAATGTTTTCCCCACTAATATCATCTTATCAAATGTTTTATATTTCAAATATAATTAGAGTAAGAAAGATCTGATTATATATGCCAAGAGCATATTATATCTGGATACAAATACAGACTAAAAAGAAAACAACTGCTTAATAAAGGAAGAAATCCATCATGGCTAATGTTTTGCAAAAAACATAACTATGTATAAGATAAGGAAAGCACTAATATATAAATATTTAGAAGTAAATTGTACTGAATATGGGATTTTGGTTTTAGGGAAGTATAAGTCAGCAGAAATCTGGTCTGGGCCAGTATAGGAAGTCAGGAACTGGACAATGCTGCTTCAGCTGATTATACCTATTAATATTCATTAAAACAATGAAAAATTGTTGCACTGTTCTTTTTCAAACTAGCCGCTGAATAAGCCTGCTCATACACACACACACACACACACACACATCTTTAAAAAAGACCTGAGAAAAAAATTGCCGTGTTTAATTGGAAGTTTATTCACTGCAAGTTTAAAATGTGACTAATGAGAAGGTTTGCATTATGAAGAGGGGATGACTAATTAGGAGGACGTACAAACTGAGGGAAAAGCTTATGATTGCATTTTAATTGCTTTTGAATGTAATTTCAGTTCTGCTGAATTCCTCTGAATTATTCTGTGCATGTGCACATACACACACACACATCTAACAATTCCTAGCTTCAAAGTAGCTTTTTTTACAAAAAGATATATGCCTGGCGTACATCCTGTTTCCATTACTGTTGATCATTTAATACAGAAATTGCTCTGTCTCTTAACCAGGATCCATTGTAGAATTAACAGGCATATATCAAAAATTTTGGACAGGAATATCTATAGGTAGCCCTTGACTTACAACCACAATTGAGTCCAAAATTTATGTTGCTAAGCGAAACATTTGTTAAGTAAATTTTGCCCCATTTTACAACCTTTCTTGCCACAGCGAATCACTGTAAGTGTGATTATTAAGTGAATCACTACAACTGTTAAGTTACTAACATGGTTGTTAAGTGAATCTGGCTTCCCCACTGGTTTTGCTTGTAAGAAGGACACAAAAGATG